ATCTCACTCACAAAAGGTTAAAGAAAGTATGCATAAAAGATGTGACTATATGAGGGTCTGTAAATAACGTAGAAAAGAGGTATACAGCTTACCTGAACAGGTAGTCTCTGTCTCTGTGGCGACAACCAAAGAACAACCAGGTCTCACCAAATATGGCCCCGGGGTTCTCCCGCCTCTCGTTCTCTCTGAAAGTCAAACCGTGGATGTTAGCGGTCAATCAATGCTAACTGACGACTAGACCAGATGGAGGAGAGGGAGTCCTTCCTAACAGCAGAGGTTAAAGAAGAGTAGTGACACCATTAAGCACTATCTGCTATGACAGCACAGTGAGTGCCGCAATTGCCTAATGCACGGAAATGACTGTGCTCACTGCAGTGAGGACATTATATGTATTATTAAATTTCACCCAAACAGAAGGATAGATCCATAACTATAAACAGTTACTGAAAATTAAACTGGTCCTGTGCTTTGTGTATGGGTGTGTTGCTTGTACACTTACGTGCACTTTGCCAGAGTGCAAAAAACACCGCTGCTGTGAACGTGATTCCTCTTTTGGTTTGGGAGTTTGGCAAAGCTCCCAGAATCCTTTGCAGACAATGGCAATGCAGCAACACAAAGCTGCTCTGAGGGTGCCAGTATCTGTGCCACACACCTGCCTGCAAAGGTGACAGCTCTCTCCCAGATAACAACAGCTGACCCCCCAACCTTTCATGATGCCATCAGTCAGTTGAGTCTCTAAACAGTGCAGCATTATCTGTTAGCCCCCGTCTGGAGGGAGGGAGACAGGAGGACCAGAAAATAGAGAGGGGTGTTAAAGTGACTAACCACTACAAGGAGCTGAGGGAAACCACAGAAAGCCACTGAGAATGCGCCCACTACACTCCGAGGATGGAGCATGCCTTTCTCTAAATCCCATCTTTTGCTATTCACCAACAGACTAAATCATACTTTGTATATCTTCGCCAGCCACAAAATTAAACTGGATTAGAAAATGTAGAGATCGGCGGCAGGTCCTGGTCCTCAGTTGCAGTTTATTCAGTAGGTGCTTTCTCTACTTATTACTAGTAATTCTTAAATTAAAACTGTTCTCAGTCTGCTATTTTTAATTCTACAAGCACAATATACAAGCAAATGATAATGTAAAACATTTATCTTAAAATCTTTATTTTTCACCCAATTATTTTCAAGAAACTGTGAATTTGTGCTGTGTGTAAGCAGAAGGCATGCCTCAGCGGTCGTTGTCATGAGGTTCAGAGTTCGATCCCGACACTTGAAGAAGCAAATTAATCAAAATGTTCAATTTATTTTAGGGGCAATTTTGTTGTCAGTACAATATTCTGGTAAGTGGTGATGGCTGATTGAACTTCCAGCTGTCTGGCTCACACAAGTCAATAGTTTTTGCCCTTACAAACGGTTCAGTGTGATTGTCATTCATTGACATTGTCAGTGAGTATTGAACCTTTCCAAATGTGCATGGTTTTTGACTTATACTTGTTCTTCTTCAGTCATTTTTAATTTCCCTGTTGTTCAACTGGCAGATTACCCTTCAGTTTTGTTACACGGTCTAACAAAGCAATATAGTCTCATGTTCAACTACTCCTGTTGACTTGGGTAAATGTTTTAGTTTATGGGCAATAACAACACCTTAAAAAAATGAACCTGAGATCAAGCTTTTCTGTGAGTTGTGTGTGGTTAGCACACTAGTCCCATAATCAGAAGCTTTAGGTTTCAATCCCCATTGAGGGCAGACACAGGAGTTGTTTGCTCTTTACAGTCGTGACATGTCCCAATACTCTCATGCAGTTTCTTCAGAAATTATACAATTCTAATTATAAACTGAGTATATTTAGTTTTTGTGTTGTTGGTTGGACAAAAAAAGAAATGCAATAAAGTCACCTTTTGGACCTTTTTCCTTTTTTATTTATAGATGAAAGGTTTAACATATTTATTATATTTTGTTAAATAATGAACAGAGCTGCAGCTCTACACTAATTGGTCTTGGTGGAAAAACAACATTTATGCAAAAGTATGACTGTGAATACTAAAAGACTTGTTCTCCATTAATTAAATGAGGAATTGACAAGTTAATAAAAATGCTTTGGAGACATTTGTTTGAACTTTGTGTCTGTGAATGAGGCCCTGGTAACAGAGCTGTCTGGCTTGCTTGACCTGAACTCTCAGATCCCATCTATTAGCATCCTGGACGAGATTCTCTTGATCTGCAAACAGCCTCAAGTAAACTCATTTTAGTGAGCTCGTCTCTCCTCTCACTGCCTGCCCTAAAGGGATCAATACCAATATGAAAAACCTGGATTCCATTCTTACCCCACCGGCGCCATTCCCTGAATACAAATCACATCACATCACATGCTCACACTATAACGGCCTGCCATACAATCCCAGGGGGAAGGCAGCCTTCACAGAGCACTCCATTTGGGGTCAAAATCAGAAGCGGTTGCCTTTCAGCATCACTCAGATGATCAGCAGGAGGGGAAAATAGCAAGGGGAGCTGAGGTGAAGACTTGGAAAAACATCACAATTATCTCACATCGTTCTTCCATTTTCTTTGCAGCGAGCGGTGCCAAATGGCTTTTTAGGCATAAAAATGTGAGAATAAATTAATCCTAAATACAACAACAACTCGAGGTGTAATCACTAAAATTACACTGTCAAATTACATTCATATACATTCAACGTGTATTTATTATGTAGGACAATACTGAGTAGCAGGATGCCATAGCCTAATTGTAATCAGTTATCTGGTTAGACTGATAAATGAAAGCGCAATATTTGTTCACATAAACACACAAACTTTAATTCAAGTTGTCATACTGACTGTGCCAAGTATTCCTACTGTCATATATAAGAATTAAACTGAGCAAACCGTTTTTCCCAATAGAAAAGCTTATTAAAGCTGTTAGGGAGATTACGGCTAACCGCTCAGTTGAAATATAATATTAGTTTAATTGTCACTGCTCCAAGCTAAACAGAAAGACTCTGAAAATCACATTCTCCACAACATCCTTCCACGCAAACTGCAGCAATCAATACCAGAATATTGGAGGCCTTGTTAAATTCTCCTAGTGCCACCAAGTGAGCCCCTGACCTTTAGAAACTCATCTTTTACTTGTTACCAGTGCTGCAAACTCATACAAAGTACTTTTGAAAACAGCCATCGATTAACAGCTGGGGTCAAAAAGGGGAGAGGTAGAAAGATCAAAGTGTCCCCATGATGTTTTGTTGCTAACAGGACCCTACTCAGGCCTTGAGGCACATACGGCATCCCGTTGACAAACTGCTGATTGTTATCTTCTATCAGAGTGCGGCATCAGTCGCTGAGGCTTTGTTTGGAATCTCAAGTTGGACTCCGTACAACGCCGCTCACCATGACAGGTATTTACAATCATCCAGCACAACATGCAGCTAGCAGGGGAAAGGATGAGAGATGAAGAGAGGGAGAAAGGACACAAGGAGGAAGGAGAGCTGATGAATCCGTTCACATTTTAACAGAGACAAGCCTCTTGAAATAAAAAAACAACAAAAAAAATCCAACACTGAACTCTAAAGGATGCATTAAATGACGGATAGTGGTTGCTGCATTTTGAAACAAAGCCTACCAAAAATCAATCTCAGAGTTTGGTTTGCACTGACAAGCAGCTTTGCAAGGACAGACCATTAATAAAACCTTTAAATGCGTATTTTGATATCTTAGACTTTAGAAAGCAATGTCTGGATACTGCTGCAAAGATCAAAGTAAGACTGATATGTTCATATCACTGCCTTGCACCAGAGTACCGTCCCTCTGGCTCAGCCTTGATCATTAAGAGTCTGTCTGCAAGTGGTGTGACCAGGTCAGTCCAAAAAACATGTGCTATCTTCAGCGCCCCTGCATCCCAGAGGCACAAACACCTCTCACCCTAGGTGACCACCCATCCTTCCCAGATTCTGCTGGAGACAATCCACCATCATCATCACTCCAGTGCTGTGTCACCTCTCACGAGTGCCACCCCCCCCAACAGAGTGGGACATTGGGGGGGGGGGGGTTTACAGACAATTGAAGTTGACTGGGGCACAACCTCATTTATACAAAGCCACCCAAGAGTTAGACATGTCAGTCTGACTAAAAAGGCTTACGCTGCTTTCTGACAAGTCATAGTGGCTGTGGGCCAGGTTCAACATACAGACATCAGCCTGGATAGAGGAGCTTCAGTCACATTGTATCTTCCTGATACGCCACCTTCTTGCAGTCTTGATTTAGCCGTCAATTCAGACCCTCAGAAAATCAAACCAAATGTCATGTTTTCTACAAAACGATTTCACTCGTCAAGCATTTAGACAGTGATGGTTAAACAAGCTGGAGAGAACTACTACATACTCAGCTAACAGCCAATATCCTCACACCACCTCACTGGCAATTACAAGAAATGATTTACTCCAACAATGCGGCCAGCACTTACTGGACTTTTTACTTTCAAATCAATAATGCCCCATGTGCTGCTTTGACTCCTTGCTGTTCATTACAGAACAAGTCATGAACATGTGCATTGGAGAGAGTCTAATTTATTCCTGTTGAGACGAGCGAAGCATCTGAAATAATCCCCAATGTGATCACAGCGCTCGCCGTTAAGTTTATTATGCTTTATGAGACGTACATGGCATGGACTTTTATCGGCTTCAAGGAGGGTCTCATTTAGGGTCTCTGCAGATTACTTGAAAATATGGATAGATGATGTGCACTTAACATCACTTCAATGTGGTGAATATTCATTACGGGGTGACGCAGTTGTAGTTTGAATACCCTGTGTAATAGGGATCAGAAGATAACCTGCATGTTTCTGATGCTTGGCAACAACATGTGACTGACCTACTTGAGCAGCCTATCTTGTAACATGCACTTGTTTGCAAAATGGGGATCTCAACCTAAACTGCATGCCTTTTACTTGATCAAAAATATAACTATTGTGCAAGATAATATCGTCATGTTGTGGTAAATTTGCTATACCTTTGCTGGAGGAAGCCAATGAAGGGGGCAACTCCTGTGCCTGGTCCAACCATTATAAAGGGCACTGAAGGGTCAGAAGGAGGTCGAAAGGCACAGTTGGCTCTCAAACTCACATGGATCTAGGGTCAGAGGCCATTAGAAGGCATTTAAAACAACAAGCGTAATTACAACAATGACCAGAAGACACTGTGGGCCTATCAACCTATGAACTGATCTACTTAATATTCTAAAGACATTCTAATGTGAAAACTCATAAGCTGAGGGGATTTACTTGCTTTCATTTAAATGATTTTTTAAATTAACTAATCAAAACTGGCTTAAAGTTTTTTTAGTGTCATACACATTAAAATTGAGTTTCCAGATCAGCCTACAACACACAGTAGAAACAGAATGAATCCTTAATGCAAGACACTGCACAGTTTTCTCAGTCTGCCTTCTCTTTTACTTGAGATACTCATGAACTGTAAAATCTGTAGAAGTCTACTACTCGTGGTATTTTTTTTTTTTTTTTTTTTATGGAAACTAAGAGAGAGCAAAGCAGGGAAGGAGTAGCAAAATACTTGTAATCACAAATTGAAATCAAAAATCTCATTTCAGCCCTATGTTTCCAGATGTATTGATTACCCTTGGCAGAGCTGGGCTGCTGGAGGATTCAGCCTTCCCAGGGAAAGCCAGGTCCGGATTGGTGAGGTCAAGCAGCCAACCGGTACACAAGCCTTGTCTACCCACAGGCCGTCCAGAGCATGCTGCTAACTCAACCACGCTGAAGACAAAATGCAGCTTTCCTGGGTGCCTAAGACGTGAGCTACAGAGATGGTATCATGGAGAGTTTGAGATGGAGAAAGACAAAGATAGAGAGAAACAACAGTGTGTGAGTGTGTGTGTAAGCCATACAGACAGTGACAAACAGAGATATACAGAGATCAAATAAAAAATACAGTAATATTCAAAGAAGCAGAAAGAGAACAGATGGGTACAGAAAGACAAGTATTATGAGGGAGGATACTGCTACAAATGATTCACACAAGATTATCTTTAGAAAGAAACACCAGCTGATCAATGTAACAAAGATACAGAGACATTTAATGTAACAGCAATTAAAAATATGGAATGGATAGAATGACATGATTACAACTGAATTATTTAAACAGGTGTGTTTTGAGCTGCGAGTCCATCTATCTGATGTGCAGGTTCCAGAGTCCTGGTGTAGAGCGGCTGGGGGCTGTGACACCCATAGCGCTGAGTCTAAAACAGGGACGGACAGCACAGCAGGTGAAAAGGAGACGGACTGTGAAGAAGGATAGGGTCAGAAAGGTACGGAGGCTCAGGTAATAGGGTTAGGCAAGTGGTTATGGTTAAGGTGGGGGTAAGTCTCCAGGAAATCAATGTAAGTCCATGTAAAGTCCCCACAAGGAATGAAAAACAATGTGTCTGTGTGTGGATTTTTTTTAATCAAATCATAATTTCAGTGTTTTATAATTAGTTGAGCTGGTTTAACTGATACAAGTCCTCCCAAATCTAACGCTGGTTGGGAATAACTTATTTACACAATTACATCTGCTTTATTCTAGAGTGAAAACAATTCTGCTTGGAGTGAGAAAAAATTTACTTTCTGCATGTCTTACTTCAATAAAACTTCTCTCCAGTCCTCACTGCCAACTGAAGCACTCTCCTGCTCTCTCCTCCCTCAATCTCCAGTTACTGTGGGCCACTAGAGACCTCTATTGACCACAGCATCAATAATGCAGGCCTCTAATGTCTCTGCACCATCTGATAAACTACAGGCACCATCTCTCCTGTCTGTACCCTGTGTCTACTCTGTACACAAACACACACATTCACACACATAAGCAGCTAAGTGAGGTACTAATGAGAGCGGCGGAGAAGATTTGACATTGCATTAGATGTTGCTTTGAGCTTTAAAGCAAATCTAATGGGCACTAGCTTAACAAGAAAAGCAAATCAATTGCTGGCTAAGTGAGGCAAAAACTTGGAACACTTGGGCCTATTTAAAATAAACACAACTAGCTAAAGGCTACACGATATTTACAGTCATTTCTGCAGTTTCCTCCATCACTGAGCTAGAATTACATTATAGAATTACATCCCCAAATACCCAGCTAAACAAAAGCCAACATAACATGGACTGCAATGTACAAGGTGGAACTGTGAGCTAAAATATAACTAAACTAAATGGAAATAATTGAAGAATCATTATTAAACTGTCTTTTGTAATAAGTCCTTAGAGTGCTCCTAACCTTTGTTTTTGCCTATATGTGTTTTTCAGTAAGCCACAGAGAGGCAGAGTGTGAGACCTATGACACACGTCATGGCCAGACCATCAACACTGCGCACACATTGTTCAATGTGAAATGTACGTGGCACCTGCCAAAAGCACTATTGGAGTGCCAGAGTCATTGTAACTTTGCCGTGAGACTGTCTCAGTATCTGAAGATAAGCTCATTGTAACCTGTTCTTATTGGAATTATTCAGAGGGGATAACTGACCTTGTCTTCACTGCAGTGTGGTATACTAAGCTGGTGGAGTAACGAGTAGTTAAAGCTATAGTATGTAACCTTAGGTAGCGCTAGCATGATGCCCCAAATCAATCCACTCCACTCTGCCCAGCGCTCCCTCTCCCTGCTCCACTATTCTCTAGTACGACTTGCTACGCTCCGCCACGCTGTGTCCAGCTCTTCTGTCTGTCATTACAGTAATTTAGAATACAACCAAACTTTCTGATCAAGCATAAATCTGATTGGTTAGAGAGGTCAATCGTGGCCAAAACCTTTTAGAAGCTAATATCTCTGCACTGCTGCCAGTGCTGTTCAATGAGTCTGGGTCACAGGAGGCTTCGACAACACCTCTCCACATTAAGACAAGTTTTGGAGCAGATTTCTACACCCCAAATCAGAAAAAGCACATTATTTGATGTGATACCTCATCGGACCAAAGGTGAAAAGGACCATCCAGACTGTTAGTACCTGTTATATACTGCAGATTTAAACTGAACAGTTTCTCATGTGTGGAGTCCGTTTCCTCAGCCCAGAGTAAATAGGCCTACATTTATCTACGTCAATGATGACTGAGCAGAGTGTGTGTGTGTGTGTGTTTTTTTAATCACCAATTTGCGGGTGTTTGGCAGAACCCCAATACAGCAAGAAGTAATATTTCTTTCCCCTCTGTCTAATCTGGTGTGGTGCCTGACAGGATCAAAAATAAAAATGTGTATTACTTGGGTAATTTGTCATAAGTTGGTTGAATCGCTGAACTGTGTACTAAACTGTTTAGGCAATGAATTATTGCACAGGAGTTCCTGGAGGAATGTACACTCTGCTTCTGGTACGTTAGTCACATCAAGTTCCAGAGAGGCTCGTATCACATACAAAAATTCTGAGGTCAGTGGAGAATCCACAGTTTATCACAGTTGCTGAATTTGCAAATTAAAGCAGCTCCTGAAAGTCTCCAGTTGCAACATGTTTCTTTTTTTATTTATCACCAGCGCATACACAAAAAACTGTTACTATAATGGTAGTATATCAGGAACTAGGATCATTTCTGTTTAAATGCATTTTTGAAATTCGTAAGAAAAGGCCAAACTTAATACAATTGCTGGAGCCCTTTTCATGTTACAATAAAATCTCTCAAGATTATTTGAAAACTCAATCCACAATTGCCAAGACTTTTTGATGTATTTGTAATAAATGCTATATGATTTTTAGAAACATTCTTTGTATCTTCCCCATGATTAAAAATACAAGTGTGGAAGAAGGCAGCTATTTAAGAGACACCTGGGTCGAATTAATCAGGTGTCTTGTTTGAAATGTCTAAACAAATGAGAGGAAAGGAAGTCATGTTGCAGCTGAGTAAGTAATAACAGTGTTCCAAATAAAGGAGATATATCAATTACTTCCTTAGCATGCCATAATTATGACACATAATTATTGCTAAGAATAAAGCAGACATGCATATTCATAAACTTGTTTCTCCAAATAAGTGATAAGAGCACAGTTTGGTGCAGTACAAAATGTAAGCTACATTCTTGTGTTTCTGTCACCTTACCTGGCTGCTGAGTAAGGTCTGGACTGCAGTTTCGGCAAATGCTCTGAAAGGCAAGCACAGCCGTCAGTCATCCCGATGTCTTACTACAGTTTTGTTAGACAGACAACTATGACTGGCACGAGACAAAATACATGTACGTCTTCTCGGTCCACCGAGACATCCTAGCTACCAGTTTATTCTCAGTAACCCCCACCCAGGTTACAATCTTGTTTCTAGGACACATTTCTATATTTATGAAATTACAAACTCAGGGTTATGAAATCCCAAGTGTCCAGATGTGGAGCCAGTAGGAAACAGATTGCTTATGCAGACCTTATTTCAATGCCAGCCATGAAGGTGCCCTCTTTTGGGTAATATGCAGTCTGCACTGCATCCGTGAGGAGGTGTCAGAGAAATCAGAGAAACTTGTTAGAGACAGAGATAACTCTTCACCCAGTAGCCATTTCCTAAGATGGGTGGCTATTGTGATTGGGAGTTATGTGATGTACCTGCTATGTGCCCCTTACAGTTTACATGCATCTCAGCGATATATGGATGTGGAAAAGCAAAGCTACAGCATGCACCAGCTGAGACACATTTTTCTGGTAAACTGGTGGGAAACACAAACAGCTGGACTAGATCTTGTCTCCTCTCTTTATGGATTTCTCTGACATCCAAACAGCTCAGGGTGTGAGGACTTGGCACTTTAAGCCGGTAATTCTTTTTAATGTGATGCATGAAACGCTTAAATTGTACATTTGAAAGCAGCTTTTTGAACAAAAACAGGCCTCATTTAGATTCACTGATATAGTAAAAACATTTCCTTTTTAGAGAGCAATGAATAGTGAGTTAATGATATATTGACTAGACTAATTAAAAGAAAATTATGACAGAAAAATATGAATATGAGAAAATTAGGAGAATTATAACTAATTTGAAGAAGCATGTTTTTATCTGGTATGTCACCCTGTGCGCTGTTGGTCTAGAAGAAGAAAAGTGGATTTGTTCAATGTGGCATCTCTAATATAGAATAAGTTTCATCTTTGTTTTTAGCTTCTCACATACCAAATATCGCTAAAGCCCTTTTTCAGGATAAACTTTGGGCTTGCAGTATTTATTTCCTTTATTCTGTTATTTAATGTACAATGTATCACAGCATTAAATTCATTTTGCGGGTGCTTTTGTCCAAAAGAATTAAGAGCATTCTAACCACAGTACTCAAAGGAAATTAGAAGTGTATATGGCGTTGTATCTGGTGTTTTTCTTCAGTTTTCTTTATATTTAATCATCTGATCAACAAAATGACAAATGTTTTGTAAGTCAACAGAGATATATATATAAACTAACTAACTTTAATAAAGAGGACTTTTATTCTGAAGAAGAGGTTGAAATGTTTAAACATGGAGGCTGAGCACACACTGAACTGCAGGGCAGCCAAATTTCACAAGAACAGCTAAGGTTACAGGCTGGCCTTGCCTTGTTATAATCAATATGTTTGTGCTGTAGATGAGTCATTTGTTAATAAATCTTCAGAAATAATTAAGACTAAGCTGTAAAAGAATGAATAACAAGAAATCATCCCTTTTTTTCAAAGTTTATAATAAAAAGCCTAAGAAGCCTGCAAAGGACAATATCCTTTTGGACCAGTCATGACATACCACGTATCTACCAATCCTTTCCATCATGGTAAACACTCAACTCTCCATCAGAGGGTATATCATATATATGTTAACACAATCCACTGCAGCTGCACAACGCTCGAGCCGCTGCCTTTTTATCAGAGAGTGACAGTACATGCCTGAAGCTGAGGACAATCAATCCATCATCTCACATCACTGCACCATGATGATACTTATGGTAGCTACAAAGGGATATATCACTTTTAAACCTTATGAGTGCAAAGTGTTTTTGTTGCAGCGAGTGACTTGAGGATACATCTTAAAATATATATTTCAGAAAAGATCTCTGCTCTAGAAAATACAGTCCTAGGGTCCCAGGCTATGTTTTTGGAGATGATCATTTTTTCAGGGGTTTCATCGATCATACTGCGAAACAATATAATCTATTCCATCTCAAAAAGCCTCTCTGCAATGCAATTTATGTGCAGAAGTAGCATTTTAGTGGGGAAAAATTTTTTGATACAATGTGGCTGAACACAGAAGTTATACGTCTCAAAGCATAAAGATAGTTTCTTTCACTGCAGACAAAATTAAGGAGGTTGTTAGCATTAAAGCATTAAGAAGAATTCTCCGTGGGAAGGTTTCTTCCTTTTTTCTAATAGCCTACATATGCTAATTTGACGTTACTTGTGAGAAAACAACCTGCTCGGCTTGGTTTTTCAGAACCATTTAAATGTTGTCCAAGCCATTTTTTTCATCGTCAATGAATCAAGTGGGAATATATGTGATATACAGTACTTATAACCAGGAAACTTTTTAAAAGATTTTATGGAGAAAGAAGAAACTCTAGCCATGAAATAGAGATACACATTACTTTAGTTTCACAGGTTACAATCGAGCTGGAAAAAGAATAAAACTGCACCCTGGTACAATTTCATTTGAGCCCTGAGATAAAGTAAATTGAAAAAAGAAAATGCCCATGGATAGGACTCAGTTCCCTGGGGCTGTGACCCCAACCTTTTCAACTGACACACTATATGAAACAATGGAGCATATGACAAGATAGCTGACTGTGGGAAGCAGGTATCTTTCTCAATTTATACTCAGCCTTTACTTTAATACCCAGCCTGCACTTGGCCAAAGACATCTGGGCATAGACACATCTCTCCTCATTATTTATAGTTAGCGCATACCAGCATAAACTCTGATCAGCAAACCCTCACTCGAGGTAATGAACCAAGAAGAGTGTAAAACTGCAGCAGCACGGCAGTGGCACACTGAGTCAGAGTTGACCGTTAACCTATGATCCAGGCTGACCTCATGCACTTGTGTCCTTGCAAAGCTCAGTGGCTCACCAAGAGACGGCCCCATGAACCCCAAATAACAGCTGTTGCCCTGAAGAGATTCCAACACCACATTTTTCACAAGGACACAATCGTCCCGATTTATGCATCAGTTCACTACTCTATAAAAACTGCTGTGGTTGGCAAGTAGGCCAAAAATAACTGACACTGGGGCTGGCCAAGAGCTGTGGCGCAGCTGTTTTAAAGGACAGCTCAACTTGTACATAAAACTGTAGCCAACTAATTTCACTGTTTGGTAAGTTTTGGTCAAATCTTATTAGATCTATGCTGAATGACCAGCCAACTGTCTTAATGAGCTGAGAGAAAATGTTAGTTTTCTATAAACAGCTGGCTCAAATGGTCAAAAGAGGGATGCCGTAGTTGGCACACAGGAGCAAAAAAAATCTATATTATTAGCAGGGAAGGAGATAATGAATAAACTGAAAAAGTTTTCTTGACTCACTGCTACGATACTGCCATTATATTCACAGAAACGGTGACACAAAAGCCATATTGGAATAGTGTGGCCTTAAAAATGAGACGAGGAAATGAGAGTTGATCCTTTGTGGAGCCCTCTGATCTACACTGTCTGACCACGCTGTATAATTAAATGTGCTGAAAAAAATCTGCAGGCTAAGCTCATGTTACTGGGGCTACAGTGACCCCTACTGGATGGAAATAATCCAGACAGACAAAAGACGTAAATAACTAATACAGTAGACCTGACATTACCTGAGGTCTTTCAGAAGTTAAATAAATAGTTCTGAAGTAAATTAATCCACTGACATTTTGAACAGGTGCAGTCCAAATCCCACACACATGTCAGTCACTGAAATTCCTCATTTGCCTCTGGCAACATAAAAGCCTGCTATTAATTAAAATGAATCTATTATAATAATAAAACTCTATGATATGAAAAAAGATTTTAAATAATGCCATAACATTAGTCTGTTTTCCTATCGGTTACTGGGTAAACATGATGGTTACATATAAAAACACCTATTTGATATGTAACAAAGTAAAATAAAAATGACAGAAACAAACATGTTGTTTCATCAAATTTTGTACTTCAGAGTGATTTTCACGTAGTGTTAAGTAATGCTTCCAGCAAGTATAGGTTTTAGCCAAAGACCCTGATTGTTATGGACTCTCAGAACTTTGGAGTTCAAAACTGACTGATGGAGTGAGATAACAGCAGGGTTTCTGACCTATGAGGAGGCTGAGAGGAGGTGAGCAGGATGGGAAGGCTGTGAGAAGCTCCAGAACGCTGAGGCTCGGGTCTCTCACATACAGGTTGTAGTCTGCGGCACCTTGTTTACTGCAGAGCTCCTGCAGTCTCCTTCTCTGCTCACTGTCCCCTGTATGCTCCACCAGCGCTCGCAGAAACGCCTGACCGAGAGAGAGAGAGAGAGAGATTGTATGTGAATTCACTTGCGGCTGCTCTGCACCTCTATCAGTAACAACGGTCATGTTTTTTCAGGTGTTCTGGTTAAGGTACCTATTCACAACTGTAAAAAAAAGTTAATCCATGTTGTGACCCCGCAGCAGGACAAACTGTAATGCATATAAGACCCAAGTCTTTGTAAATCTTCCAGATAAAACTGTAGAGGCTGGCCTTGACAGCAGCTCAGTTATGGATACAGCTATTTTAATATGTACAATGCACTTTGTGCCCCCATAACTAAACTGTCATTTAGTTTTTAAATGCTTTTCAAACTACAGAGATTTTAGCACAAGCAAAGAAGCATTATTTTGATCCCTTGGCAGATTAAGCAACATAATCAATCTATTATATATGCAAAAGATAAGCTGCAGTTTCATTGGCTTTACATTAATAATTGCTAATATGGTATTATAGGGCATTGTATTTAAAGAAATATTCAAATGCAGCTCCTGTTTAACTTCTAGAGTGATCTGACTGCATTCCACAACCATTAATCAATCTGATCCAGTAATCAGGACTTTGAAATATTTGTCATGCTCAAGTGTTCTAATTTTAGTGATTCATTATAGTTTGAGTGCCTGCATGAAGCGATTAGTGGTACATTCCTGCAGATTGTAGTGGGAGAACTATTATCAGCAGAGCCAGGACTTCACCAACACTTTTGTCAAACTGTGACTGTAGCTGTCCCGCTCTCGTGACATCTCGTGACGGATTGAGTGTTCTAACATTTGTCCCAGAGATGGTGCATCAGTATGTGCAAGAAAATCTACCTCTATTTGATGGTATGACACCTATTATTAGGAACTGTTCTGACCAAGAGACTGAGGTGATTTATCTTTCATGATCTTAAAATCATGGCATTTAAAAACTGTAGGCATTGTAAATGCTTTAGTAAAAAAGACTATCTGCTTGGACTACACAGCCAGGTGTTATAAAATAAAAACTGCTGCCTTCTAGACAACGGTTTGTGAATAGCTCATTTGTGTGCAGGAATTGAATAACACTGAAAAGGAGCATCTGTGCTTCTCATTATTTTTATATTATGTTTTATAGCATCTCTTAAAGTTGAATTCTGAACAATACTTTAAGGGCAGCTACACACCGTCATGCTATAACTTTGTGCTCTCCCAGCATATTTTAGCTTCAATTACCGCTTCACAGTTGTATGCCTCCGCCAACAAGTCAAATTCATGGGTATGGAACAGAAGTGAGGTCACTGACCTTTGACCACCAAAATCTAATCAATTCATCCTTGAGTCAAAGTGGACACGTGTGCCAAATTTGAGAGTCTGTGGGAGCTCTGACAGTCATTACAAGCATGTTTATGTCCTTTTACAAGAGTTACTGTATGGATACCTGAGTTGTAGCTGAGCTAGCAGCATTATAGGAGAGACTCTGCTGTGTGTGGCTGTCTCTCATCTGGGGAGTGTCAATAAAGTAGCACTGCTGTTGCTCACTGCTACAGTTACTGTTCATCAAATCTAAATATATTGTTAAGTTCTGAAAACAGCAGACATATCTTCATGCCTATATGTTGTGTGTACTGAATTTTGTTAGATACAGTATATCACCTGTATTGACAGCATATGGCAACAAAATTATATGTGATTATGTGTACAGCCAAAAAATAATTTAGTGTGCAGTTGCCCTTTAAAATATTTTATTTATTAATGGGTTACTGGACGGCTGCCATATTGTGACATTTTCCAAACAGTCTTCCTTTTGTCACTCACTACGCTGTTTATGAAGAACAGTAAACTACTGGTGCAGCCTGTGAGGGAGCAAATTTTATGGTTTTCAATTTCGTTAGACTATAATGTTTTTATTAAACAATGAATTAAACTTGCATGATGAAAATCAGGATGTGAATGTAATGTTGTGAAAGCGGTAACTGGTGATGGTAATTAGAAACAGGACAAGGAGCAGAGGAACGTTCATTACAGTATTTGAAGGAACGTTGCAAATGCTAGAGAAGAAGAGAAACCACATGTTCATGGCCATTGCTGCAGAAGAACAGGAAAATTTCATCTTTATTTCAGGCTTCAACCTCACTTTACATATTTAGTTATGCCTGAGCTTGGGAAACAAAACTATGGCTCCATGAAAATCTTCTGGGGACCGACTGTGTCCTAATATAGACTGAGTACCAATAGGCTTGTCCAGTAAAGAAATCAGTGTAAAATGGAATTGTTGAAATATAATTGCATATGCGCAAGCATGACCCCAAGCTTTGACGGCACATATAAAAGCAGTGTGCCGTAGCTGGAGAAAACATAACACTTAAAATAACGTCTTCCCTCTTATTATGCTGATATGCAACAACAACAAATAGGATGTCACATGAAACAAAGTGGCTTGGTTTATGCAATTTACAAAGTCAGCAGTTGCAGAGCAATGTTTAGACATAGTGTACTCTACCTTCTTAGGAACACTTCTGATCTCTAGACACCATGTGAGCATGTACAGCAGAGAAATGTTCTGAGGGATGTAAGATGGCAGCTGGGCACCTACATCCATGGAAGAACAACAAATAAGATAAATAAGGAGCATTTGAAAATTTGTCATTATCACATAAGGAATACTGTGTTGTCAGTGCTGTGTAACTGTGTGTAATTTGTGTTACAATGCTCTTTTAAAAGTGCAGTAATCATGCATGTTAAAATGACATGAAATGTGCACCTTACCTTTTTTCTTTGTATCCTTTTTTAACGAAACAAGGGCATGATGGTTCCTGAGGTCATACAGGCCCAATCTGTGGAGCATGTTGTCCACTTCAGATGCCCTGTTTGGGCAGTACACATCAAAAGCATCCCCTGGTTGATAGGCCATTGTTGGATAAGCCTGGGGTGGAAGAAATATGTATAGTTTAAACTAAAACTCAGTGCAGGTTTAGAAAAATGTAGGAAATGTACACTGCTTTGTCAAGCTTACAGAGATGTCCAACTCTAGAAGAAGGCTCATCTTGACTGAATCTCCTCTGGTCATCTGAACTGCCCTGGATATGGGTACCTCATAAAGAGTTTCTTTGTTTAATGGTCCAGTAATCTGAAAGAAAGCTTTTATGAGATGAGTATGGCACAAACACTAGTTTCATCAGCAGCAATTTTACTCACCTGTTCACAAGAGCTCACATCCTGAAGAGAAACATCCAGGTAGGGAGCAGGCAGAGCAGGAACATTAAGAGAAGACTCTGACAGCGGGGGCAGGGAGCGTGTCAGTGAGGCTGCCAATGCAGCACGGGGAACTCCAGCAGCCCCGGTCTGTGTCTTCAGTACTGATGTAAATGTACCAGGAGTGCCACAGGACTGGGATTCCAAGCCAGGGCTCCCTGCAGGAGAAGCTGGCCTGTGATCAGAAAGAGCAGTCTGTGTAGCAGAAGCTGAAAATGAAACAGCAGGTGCATATTTGTAGTCCCTATCTACAGGCACTCTGACTGACTTGCAGCTCTGCTGGTCAGTAAGGCTTAGGAGGTTAAGCTGGACATCTGGTATGGATGAATCCAGAGTTTCCTTTGATGAATCCTCCACGTCCCCTTTCAGGTGAGCAGTCTGATTAGAATCCATTTTTGTTAAGGCTCCTTTAATGGCTTTCCACAGTCCTTCAATCCAAGGGTCCACAGTCAGCTCCAGGCTGGAGAAAGCAAAGTCCACAAGAAGCTAAAATGACAGCAGTGCAGTAAAAAGAAGAGAAACAAAACTTTGTTGGAACTAGTGCAGAACTTACCCTACACCATCATCTGCATATCCTGTTGCATAGAATTGTTTGGCTCCAAGTTCCTGCAGACGTCGCTCTATTGTCTTCCCACAGTTGCAGAAATTTGCATAATTTGTGTCTCCTAACGCTGAAGGCAGACAGAAGAAAACATATCTGTCAAGCCAGGAACAATGCTGTGTCTTTTAATGATGAACACAAATATGTTTTGCAAATCAAGCTCCTCAGTTTTACAGATGAACTGCAAAGAGTGCTACATGAAACCCTCATAGTAGTTTTTACCTAAAAGTGCATAGCAAAGGTGTTTATAATGATCAGTGGAAAGGGTCTTCTTCTTGATGCCTCTTACAAATTGGAGGGCATTGTCTGGTGGTTCACCATCTCCAGTAGTAGACACAACAAAGACCACTGGGGCATTCTCCTCCTCCAGATTGTACTGGAACCAGTTATATGGTTAATGAATGGCTGGTGTTCCCAGTCCATATGAAAAACACTTCACATTAATATCCACACAATCATCAGGCAATTTGATGTTTACTAAGGTGTTACTGATGTGTTATTGTGTGTCATTAGCAATGCAATAGAAGAGGGGCTTAAACCACTGTGTGAAACAGGTCAAATGTGCAACAGCTACCTTCTCTTTCTGGTTCAAGCAACTGAGCTCAGCAACCAGTCCGTGCTCCTGTGCCGCCTCAGCTATCCCCTCTGCTATGGACTCGGCTTGGCCCTTCTGGGACCCATACAGAACCACGAACCGAGGCTTCACTTCACAGGGCATGCTAGAGCCTCCATTAAAGAAAAGCCATTTTGTAGATTTATATATTCCAAAATGACATTTCTCAGTCCCTTTTCATAGCATATATGCTGATATGTCATAAAGGGATTGGCACAACTGTTACTGAAGTGTCCCAGTAAACCAGGACATTGTCCCAGTACTACTCAATACCAGGACCCTGAAACTGAAGCAGTTAAATTATTAATGTCATTATTTACACGTGCTTTTTTACTGTGATATGTCAAAACGAGTTACCCCTGCCTACTCCAGAGTCCTGGGATCTAACGTTCTCCATTAATTTTGTTTGGAAACACTGTGGTATATTTGAAAACATAAAACTCCAAGATTCAAACAGTAGACGGGTGGAGTAAGTCAATGTAGCTGTTAGTGGGGTGACCCAGATTAAAACCAAGATGTGCCCAGTTTACCTAACTTTACATACTGCAAGATTTGACCGGTAGCAGACGGAGCAGCAGCCCTGAACACCATACCTGGAGATTGCGCCAGTCAGCATGGGGATAGCATTACCCGAGAGTGCCTTTAGAGCCCAAGACTCGGGAATAGGTAGAGGTATGGTTATGGTTAGGGTGAGGTTCGGGTAATGTTAAGCATCGTAAGACACGACTGGTTATGGTTAGAGTGAATGTTAGGTTCAGATTAAGGTATGACGAGACTAAAATCTATAATAATTTAATTTCCCTTAAAACTACTCCAGAGTCTTGGGATCGAATGCTAACCATTACGCAAGTCCACGTGGATTGAAACATGTTAGTAATCTACCCATTTCATAACAATGGCAAACTCGTGTGGTTTTACATTAACAGTAACTGGAAAGTAGTAGAGAGGGACTTGTCCTGGCTTGCAAACACCTAATCCGTGATGTCCTTGGTCCATACCTTTACAAATAATAATGTACAATAGAACACAAACGCAAAAGCAGGGTGAATTTCTCAGAAGACATGTGTTATACCTTTTGCTGTAGCACTTCAACACAGCCCTTACGTGTAGCTGACTCTTCTTCTTATGATGGATTTCCGACAGGCTTTATACTATGAAGCAACCCAACCCGGAACAAGAAAATTGGTCGAACGCGCCAGACGACCAACTCTCATAGATATAATACACTAGATCTCACATTGGGGTTTCTAAGACGCGTCTCACCCGCCGCCATACTACCAGGGGCGCTCTGGCCAATCTTGCGGAAAATGCAGCACTGTTGTGCTGCGTTTGGATGGTCTAATATAAAAATGACAAATCTAATCAACAGGGAATAACATTTCACGTGTAATAAGTTATGTATTACCAATATTTAACTTTTAATTAACGGGATGAGTTTGATCTATTACAATAACTTACTAATCTTTCCTTTAAACTAATATTATGATACGGTTGATACTAAATTAAGCTTGCTAATGATCAGGCGAATAAAAATGAATATGATGTTTTCAATAACAGAACTGAATAAAGTAATAAGGAAATCTGGCAAAACAACTCCAGGGAAACATCAAGAAATAGTAGATTTTATCTTTGCCCACTGAATGGAAACAAGCAAATATGCTTACATATTTATTAATTATTTGTTATTTAGGATTTATAGCTAAAACTTATTTTCATTATAAATTAAGTCCTAACTCTTTTGTTGTTTTGTTTTGTTTCTGAGCATGTAATAAAGACTTCATGGTATGTGGGTCTCAAGGCTATCCTAAGCTGTTCAGGGAGAGAATTTAATTCTGACCCACACTCCAGTCCACAAGGTGGCGCACTAAAAGTTGTCTGCCAAGTGGGTTCCGCCCTCCCTGACTGTAGAGTCTTCTAGAAGTCGCCAGTGTGCGGCTTGCATCTGTAGATTTACATTGTAAAACTCGTCGTTTTATCTCGTAAACACTTGCTAAGTCTTCTGGCCCCTCAGTCAACATGTCCACTTTGGGGACACTAGCTTTCGACGAGTATGGAAGACCTTTCATTATCATTAAGGACCAAGATACGAAGACACGATTAACCGGCATTGATGCATTGAAGGTACAATGGGCTAGCTAACGGTGTACTACCGTGGCATGTGGTTAGCAAGTTGTTGATGATTAATTAGCTGTGAGTAGCATGACGTTGGCCACGTTTACTGTTAAGATGACTTGGTATGTCTTGATATATAAGGAGTGGATCTTGTTAGATTTTGTAAACGTTTACCTTATTGCTAAGATGGCAATTAAGATATTGGTGCAATATGATAGCATTAGCTGTAAGGTTAGCTAGTCGTGCTAACACGAGGCCCATGTGCTTCCTGCAATACCTTCAGCGGCTGAGTGTTGCTATGGCTGTGCCTTAAACGGTCATTATTGATGCACATGTGAAGTTCTGTCTGTCTTTGATGCAACAATCTAGAGTCAAATACGCATTTACGATAAGCCAGTTGTAATGTTTGTGTTTTGCAGTCTCACATTATGGCAGCAAAGGCAGTTGCGTCAACACTTAAAACATCTTTGGGACCTAATGGTGAGTATAAAATAACGCAGTGCAGGCACACCTGACTGGTTGTTCATTTGAGTCCAGATGAGTGCTTGGATGCTGAGCTTCTGTGTATAGTAGAATAAACAATATTTGACCACCAATTGAAAGTGGCTCTCCCACACAGAATTTTGACAGCAATTCAAAACAGCAGGGAGCATTTTTATTCTAATGGTATTTTAGCTGAAATATACACTGAAACATGTTTCGGAGAAGTGTTGCCAAAGGCTTTTGTGACCCGGACTCATTGACAGCCTGGCCAGAGTGCATGTAAAGTTTTCAGATTGATACAGGCTACCCCTTCTAACCAGTCAGGGAAGACCAAGGTCGAAGATTGGAGCTCTCTGTTTGCTTCAGATTAGTGCTATGTCAACATCCAGAATTTGTAGTTTTAACCTGATCACCAATATCACATGCCCCACATTTTACTGAAGCATTTTTGTCCATGTTTTTATCCAGGTCTTGACAAGATGATGGTTGACAGCGATGGAGAAGTGACTGTCACCAACGATGGGGCCACTATTCTCAGCATGATGGATGTGGACCACCAGATTGCCAAGCTTATGGTGGAGCTGTCCAAGTCCCAGGATGATGAGATTGGTGATGGAACCACTGGAGTTGTTGGTATGGGAAAGGAAGATGGGGGTGGGGGGCAGTGTAAATCCCTCTTGCAAATGAGTGAATGTATTGTTCTGCTTATGGTTTAACCCACTGGTTTCCATAACTTCAGGCAGTGCAGTATGGGTGAGACTGCAGAGGAGACAGTAACTCTACTGTGCAGTTTACACACACTTGCTTTGAGAGTGATAATCACAGCTTGTACTGGAAATAGTGCTGCTAGATTACAGAAGAAAATTTGTCACCTTACTGCAGAGAACATTTCTGAGACTTTCTTAATCCCTTAAAGCAGCTAGATTTACTATCACTACAGCACTGTGCATTGTATCATGTGACAGGTATGAACGTACTTTGTCCTCAAGTATTACAAGTAGTATTCTACAATACACAGAGTGCTACATTCAGATGTTTCTGATAACACCATTTCATAATCTTGGTGCATTTAGGTTTTTAGTTTTCTCATAAATACACTAACATTTTGAAAACCCTACCACCAATTATAAACATGAGGAATATGCAAAATCTAATTTTCATATTGAATCACATGACAGCAAAATTGTTGCAGCATTGTTCAAGATGACCTGGCATCATGTTATCATATTCCAGCCATTGTGGTTTATTGTTTGAATTGCTTTTTCCTCCTCGTCAGTGCTGGCTGGGGCTCTGCTTGAGCAGGCTGAACAGCTGCTGGATCGTGGAATCCACCCCATCCGGATCTCTGATGGTTACGACCAGGCTGCATGCGTCGCTATTGAGCAGCTGGACAAAATTTCAGAAACCTTCCCCTGTGATCCCAACAACACAGAACCGCTCATTCAGACTGCCATGACAACACTGGGATCGAAAGTGTGAGTCTGCTACACACAAGAGTATTTGGTTATTATGTTGCTACAGTGTAATTACCATGATCTACCTTAGAAAGCTCTGTTACATTACAGTTCCATTTCTTCTCTTTTTTTGATTATGCTAGCCTCTAGAAAGTCTGTTTTTTTTTCACCCTAACATGTGATGTAAGACTGTGGAGAGAGCAAAACAGCAGAAAAGTGAAGCCCACACATTTACTGTGCAATACTAACAGTCATACACTGAGGGACTGAATATCTGTGTGTCTGGGAGAGTGCAACATTCCTCAATAAGCAATCAGTTATAAGGACTAGTTATACAGATAAGGTATCATCATTGGTTAATATATATGATTTAAGAGACTTCCACACAAAGGAACTTGTTAGTCTAGGACCTGATCCCCATTTGACATCACAGACTTATGTCAATAAAAAATGTCCTGGGGCTGTCCTGGAAATTTTTTTTCTTGAAAGGAGTGGGAACCTTGAGTTGTTTTCACTCAAATTAACATTTTTATAAGAAGGGGCAGTAATACACTAATGTGTATAACATGAGGTCAGATCTGCTAAGTTCTACTGTTGTCTTTCAGTATCAACCGGTGCCACAGACAGATGGCAGAGATTGCAGTGAATGCAATCCTCACTGTGGTTGACATGGAGAGGAAGGATGTCGACTTTGAGCTTATCAAGATGGAGGGCAAGGTTGGAGGCAAGCTGGAGGACACACAGCTCGTCAAGGGAGTCATAGTTGACAAGGAGTTCAGCCATCCTCAGATGCCTAAGGTGTGAGCATAGGCTGCAAGTTATAAGGACACTGCTGCTGCAGCCAAACACTACAAGTTAAATTGCATGTTGGTTTTCTGTGACCACTTTAAAATAATGATGCCAGCATCAGTCATTCTTTGTCACCACTCAGATTTTGAAAGATGTTAAAATGGCCATCCTCACCTGCCCGTTTGAGCCTCCCAAGCCAAAGACCAAGCATAAGTTGGATGTGACCTCTGTGGAGGACTACAAAGCACTCCAGAAATATGAAAAGGAGAAGTTTGAAGAGATGATCCAGATGGTTAGTAACACAAGTCTTTAAGCTACTGATGCTTCAGACATTATTTAATAGGGGTTATGCGCAACTTACTTCCATATACTGCAAAACAGAATCATCCATTATTTCCGGTTTGCAACTAGTATGAAATATGGTACTGTTCTACTCAAGATGTCTCCAAGAACTACCAAAGATGAAGATCACAGATGTACACCGAATATGCAGCTCGACAGCTAAAACACCGGGCAGCAAGCTGGATAAGGGGTTTAAGCTATATGCTTCTTCATACATCCACGACTACGAAGGTAGAGTTATGTATCGGTTATCTTGACTAGTATGAAATATGGCACTGTTCTACTCAAGATGTCTCCAAGAACTACCAAAGATGAAGATCACAGATGTACACCGAATATGCAGCTCGACAGCTAAAACACCGGGCAGCAAGCTGGATAAGGGGTTTAAGCTTTATGCTTCTTCATACATCCACGACTACGAAGGTAGAGTTATGTATCGGTTATCTTACAAACGGAGATGTAGCTAAGCTAGTTTGTAAGCTAACTAGCTAATGTTATCGATATTTGCACCAAGCATCTGTCTGGTACACCAAAATAATGTAATACACTACCGGAAAGCTACTAGTAACTAAGCTTGTGTAATGGAAATGCTAAATTCGCAAACTGCTGGGCTTCTAATTTTTCACATGCCATGTCCAAGGCTGATGGTTCTGGTCTAGCATAGTCATGACACCGAAGCAGAAATCCAACGTCCCTCTGTTCCTCCTCAATTTCCTCCGGCCGTTGCGTTCTCTCCCACACGCTTGGTCTACTTACAGGCAGTGAGTAGTCATTCCAGGCAAACAACACTGGAACGGCTCCTTCTTTCAAACGCCGTTGTCCACCTTGAATTACATCTGTGGAGAGAAGTGTCTACTACATACTGTTGTCGTTCTCTTAATTACAAGATTATCACGTCGTACATTACGGATCCATATTTTTCTTAAGGTTTCATCCTTAGAGAAATGGTGAAAGCTTATGGCTGAATTGAACTTCCCTGACATCGCGCATTGAGGTATGCAGCAGAAATCACTGTTTGGATGATCCCGCTTCTGGTATTTGTGTCTTAAAAAAGACATTTTTGTTTTTTTATCTACAAACTAATCAAATAAAACGAGCTCAAAGAACGTGTTTCGCGTTACTACTGTTGTGTCACCCGCGTTCTGCGGAAAATCGGAAGTGCGCTGACCCGTTTTCTGGTTTGGTCACGTGACGTTCCGCATAACCCTTATTGTCAGAAATGTGACAGCTACTAAAACTGAATTCTCAGCATCATGTTGGTAAATCTAAATGAATATTTCTCTATCAGGTCAAAAAGAATGGTGCTAATTTGGCCATATGCCAGTGGGGCTTTGATGATGAAGCCAACCACCTTCTGCTACAGAACGAGCTTCCTGCTGTGCGCTGGGTCGGCGGTCCTGAAATCGAGGTGAGTGGCATTTCTCGCATGACAGCACTCCTTGTTAAGTTATTGAACAAACATCAGTACCTTCACTTTGATCAGTCAACCTTGTTTGGCTATGAGTGTCTGGTAAGCAGTAAGTATATAGTACAGAACTGCTTACTTAATTATTAAGTATACAATGTCAGTTATGTTTTCTCCACAGTTGATCGCCATAGCCACAGGAGGCCGCATCGTGCCAAGGTTCTGTGAGCTGACACCAGAGAAGCTTGGCACAGCTGGTGTGGTGAAGGAGATCTCCTTTGGTACTACAAAGGACCGCATGCTGGTTATCCAGGAGTGCAAAAACACCAGGGCTGTCACCATTTTCATTCGTGGAGGCAATAAAATGGTAAATACAGATGTGACTTAACTCGGTGTCAGTGTCTGTTTCTCTGTGTTGGCTTACGGTTTGGTTTTATCTGCCTCATTAACAGATAATTGAGGAGGCCAAGCGTGCACTCCATGATGCTCTGTGTGTAATTCGCAACCTGGTCAGAGACAACCGTGTTGTGTATGGTGGCGGAGCTTCAGAGATCGCGTGTGCTCTGGCTGTCAACCTGGCTGCAGATAAGGTGAGGAGCATTGTAGAAAAGAAATCATGAGACTTTCTGACTATTTTCGCTAACCATTTGAATATACCTAATACCCCTGCTGCTGCTAAAATCCTCTCTAACGTCTGCCTTTTTAGTGCCCATCATTGGAGCAGTATGCCATGAGGTCATTTGCAGATGCTCTAGAGGTGATCCCAATGGCACTGGCTGAGAACAGTGGGATGAACTCTATCCAGACCATGACGGAGATCAGAGCCAGACAGGTCAAAGAGAACAACCCCTTCCTCGGCATCGACTGCCTGCGCAACAACACCAATGGTAAGGAAGGCTGTGCCTATGTATCTTCATGACTACTGTCCTATTTGGCACTTTCAATCACACAAGAGGGCTTTAGCACTGGCATGACGTAAATACCCCCCCCCCCATTTTAACTCCTACGCAGACATGAAGCAGCAACATGTGATCGAGACCCTGATTGGCAAGAAGCAGCAGATCTTGCTGGCTACTCAGGTAGTTAAGATGATCCTAAAGATTGATGACATTCGAAGCCCAGGACAGAGTGAGGACTGAAACTCTCCAAAACACCAAGATGTCTGTGCTCATCTAGAGGTTTTTGGCACGTCCCAAATCCATGTTCAAACCACACTGCATATTGCTATTTATCACTTGAATCAAAATGTTCAGACTGTTGTAGTATCACCATTAAAAAGCTGGTCTGTTGAAATATCCAGACTCTGTAGTTTTTATTTTAAACCTTCAGTGTCAAACCTGGTTTACAGTACATGTTTTATGGAAGTTAAAATTTAAAGGATCTGGCAAGCAAGTGTATAAAAAATTATCTGTCTGCATCCTACTTTTACAAGACAGTTTACTGCATCCATACAGTTTGCACAAGGCAGCGTTAAACATATCTGACATTTCACTGATATTACAATCACATTTTATTAGTATCTGAAGATCAGACACCCTCCAGGCCTTACAAAATAAAATGTAAATCATCTGGAGAAATTGTGGAATATCAACAATCAAAGAAAAATCATGAGCAATAGCAATCACCTTCACATTTTACATTTGGCCCTTTTAAGGATCTCATCCTGTATTGATGTCAGCTGGTCCTGATTAGAAGCATAGTTACTTGGCACCATTAGCCACTTGTGTTTAATGAGTAGCTTACTCTAGTGTGCTGTTTCTGACCTTCTCATTTAGATGTACTTGTTGAGCCAGTTGAGCATGTCTGTTCTGGCCTCCTGGATGCTGGGTTTGTCTGCAGGGTTGATGTCCTCTCTCTTGCGGTGGACAAACCCATGAGTCTGTCCAGGAAAGATCTTCACCTGGTAATCAACTGTGCATTTCTTCTTCAGTTTTACTTCAAGGGCTTCCACCTGAACAGCAAAGCAATGTAAGAAGAGGGTGTTTGTGGTCACATGGCATTTGAAATTAATACCTGCAGAGTGGTTCATGTACATTGCTGCTAGGATTCCACTTACTATAGTGCCATCAGTATCAATCTGAAAACAAAAGTGGATTTGTAAAAGATCAAAACCAACTGAGTTTTCGTATACTAACCTGGTCCAGTGGGATAACGTGATCGTTCTCCGCAAAGACAAACAGTGTGGGACTTTTCAGCCCATATATTTCTTCCCTCTCCTGGATGATCCCTGCGTAGTAACACATACGCCCATCAAACCGATGTACTGAACCATACTGCTTGCTCTTGTGCATCAATACATATGCAGTGAACTCTCATTTGGCAGTGACTTGCCATAGAATGATACTCCAGCTTTGACTTCTGGATACTGCAGAGCCAGGTAATGTGTGGCAGCCCCACCCCAGCAGAAGCCCACTGCTCCGATGTGTTTGGCCCCACACTGCTCCTTCAGGTACCTTAATACTACATCAACCTCTCTGGGGGGAGGGGGTTAATGGTCAATACTAATAAAATGATGCTACTATAGCGCTGAGATTAGCAAGCCATTAAGAAATCCACAGCGTGACAGTTACTCCACTTTATGATCTCAATGCAACATTCAACACTACACTGAGAGAAATGCACAGTTACTTGTTTATGTTTGTTGGCTTTTTGTCCTCATACCACTCCTGAAATTTGGACCAGTCATGTGATGGACTCCATGGCTCTTTTCCAACATAGAAATCTGGACAAACAGCACTGTTCAAAGCAAAATAATGGCATAAGAAACCACTGTTAGAAGGCAAACTGACCAACAAAACAGCAGATTTAAAGGGCTTCTACGTAGGTTAAGCATTCGCCCATTAAAATAACTAACCTAGTCATACATGCAGTATATAGTCTGTCTATTGCTTTTAGAGGCACAGGTGTGCCTGTCACTATCCACTCTTTGTGCTGCATTGATTTTTACGTACATGTATCCATTGGCAGACAGCATGTCAGCCATGTATCTTGTGTTGGGAAGCTGCCAGCCAAAGATGTCTTGTATGACAATAATAGCCTTGTCAGACACAGTGGATGGCTTCACTACATAAGCTTTAATGTGATCTATCTGGACCTCCTGGCCCAGCCCACCATACTCCATCCGATCACCAATATCACAGGGGCATGGTTTTGCTTCATTTGCCATCTGCTGAGAGAAATACAGACAGAAAGTCAGCTCAGGGGACAGCAGGAAAAGAATTAATCGCTTAAAGTGAAATTTAATATCTCTACCCTCTCTTCAGACCTGGAGGTCACATGCATGATTATGTAAGAGTTTGCACAAGACAGTGATAAAGTATTTTAGCACAAATAGCTCAACCTCAGCAGGCTATAACATCGCTTCAAACTAAATATAATTTCAATATGATTTTAAAATCAATTTACATAGATTACATACAGTACTGTTTCTGCTTTTCCGACGAGATAAAGGGCTCAAAAAGCTATAGCGAGAGTCCAACTAGGCGATTATAAAGTTCGTGTTACCGATGTCAAGTAGGTCAGACAAACAGTGAAATTGCTGTCGTTACCTTCAAAATAAAAGCTGCAGGTTCCGTTCAAAACTTGACATATTTTGTGATACACCTTTATTCTAAGTATTTTTATACCTATCTGGGACATAAAAAGTACATTAGATAAATTGTCATCTGTGAATGTTCACTTCACATAAAGCAAAAAATTTAAGGTGAGCCTATGGCAGTGTTTTGCATTTTCAACTACACTGTCTTTGCAATAAAGGCACCGCTGGGATTCGAACCCAGGATCTCCTGTTTACTAGACAGGCGCTTTAACCAACTAAGCCACGGCGCCGCTGATTTGCTTTGGATAATTCTAATTAATTTTCAATCATGTATTTGTTAGGTAAATAATATGGTTGGTTTATTTATGTGGTTAGTTATGGTTACTACCTCTTGTTATTATTACTATTTATTTTTTTTTGCCAGTCTCTTCCCATTGACTTGCACTCACATTCATGGGGGGGCTCTTCTTAAATAGGCAGTCATTAGGTAGTGGCCTATAGGCTGTTTGCGTAGCCTATGTATCTGTGATAATGATAGAAAAAATAAATAAAGTAGCACCTAGGAACAACAATTTAATTGTCAAAGGAAACACATACAACTGTCTCATTTTAATTAAAGATATAATAAACAAACGAGGAATGCCATTTCAAGAAGCTTTGTTTTGTAGTGCAATACCGAAACCAAGTACAAAAACTCTCATATCTGTTTCAGTATTGTATCTATTACATTTGTTTCTTTTCTTCTATTTCTTTATATGTTTGTTTTTGTTTTTACAGTACTCCTCGTAGTGCTTGTTTTAATATTGTTAATGTGGTAATAAGAGGGTCAAAATCAAAATGATATCTTGACCTTAAACGAACCCATAGCCACATGACGGGCTGTTACTAAAGTTTCCCTGCCGTAAATACCCATCATCGTAAAACGTGAACTTCTGAGGTAAAGTAAATGGCTATGCCACGACTGTGATGCGTTCACGCGGTGTTAGCACAGTGGAAATATTAGAAAAACACTCTTGTGTTAACCTTGCAGTCACACCATATTGACTGTTAAAATTGGAAACTTTTGTTGTGTTAAGTGTTGTAGCAATTCGCTACCACACAAGGCCAATGCGAAAGGATTTTCCTATGGCTAGATCCCAAAGACCGGGAGTAGATTATGTGGGAAGTGGTGTGTTTCCCGGTAGATATGTGTTTTCTCAAACCTTAATATGAACCTAATCTTCGCCTAAATTGGTCGTGTTTTAGGGTGCTTAACTTCAACTTACCCTATATAATTACTTCAGCCTACTGCTGAGTTTTAGGATCTAATGTTTACTAACTTAATATTACCAATTGAGTAAGAACTCGATTGCTCGTTTAAAGGATATGACGTGAACGCGTCAGGCTCGGGATCTGATGAACTGTTGTGATGGGGTAACAGTAACGTTAGCACACGCGTTAGCTAGTTTAGCTAGTTGTGTCCAAGGTTTTACCCGTAACTTCAGCAACAGTTAGGATGTAACGTTTTCCAGCTTTATACTATTATCTTAAAATACGCTGTAAAAGTAAAAGCTTTGTCTAGCTGCGAGCATTAGGCTGATGTGAGAGGACAACGAAGCAAGCGTTGGGAAACCATTTTATGATTGTCAGTGCATCTGACAGTTGAGCATAACGTTACACTCATCTCACTAGCTTAATTTAACTTTGTCGTGAATGGGTTAACTGTACAAGGGGCTCGTACTGGCAGAAACGGTGACCCGTGCTTAGCAAACAACATGGATACTGCCGAAGAAGGTAAGTAACCGAAGACGTCTCGTATCCCAGCTGGGGTTTACTAGCATTACCTTTGTAAGCGAATCAGCGACAGCCAAGCTTGCCGCTGAGGTGGCCTGCTAGTGGACAACTTCGCTGAATAGCATATAGCTTTAATAACCTTTCAGAATAGTTAGAGGCGAATTCGGGAAGCCAGGAGAACAGTGTTTAACGTTTTAATGGTAGTGTGAAGCAGAAATGTGGTAGAGAGCGTCGAAATGACCAGACGTTTCTGGCGATGTCATCAGTCGCCTGATGTATCACCATACAGATAGGTGAAGTTTCTTGTGTAACTCGCTTAGCTCCATGTATGTATATAGCAGGGATTTTCAACACAACAGTGGTCCGCGGACCGCTGGTGCTCCGTGAAGGCGTGACTGATGTACCCTGACCATGTATTCAGTAATGTAGTTTTACTGTGGGCATCACTATTTTTATCTTTTCAGCATTAAAATGGTGCTAATGTGGTGTAGTTAACTGTGGTCCTCCAGCTGCCTCTTAATCAGTGGTGGTCCCTGTGTCACAGTCATGTGAAATCCCCTTGTGTATAGAGTCCCGTAGTAGTGAGTTCTAAAGCCTAAAACAGAATTGGCATTTTTGTATGTCTGGTTCCCTTGCCCTGAAGTCTATCTAACATTACTGGGTGTACCGCTCACGGTTAAATTCTTACTTCTTGCCTATAAATGCAGCCAGCAGAGGCCCTGAAGGTACCCCAGTCCCCACGCTTCATTTGTATAACATTATCTCCGGATTTCTTGGCTTTGGTGATGGGTATCACATAGCTACTCACATATGTGTATGTGTTTGTGTTTGTGTGTGCAGCTGATATTTGTCGTGTGTGCCGCTCTGAGGGGACCCCAGAGAAACCTCTGTACCACCCCTGTGTCTGCACTGGCAGTATTAAGTTTATCCATCAGGAATGGTAAGTGTGTTTGGCTGTTTCTAACCACTGGGGAGTTGGAATTATTGTTACTGGTCAAGTAAACATTCCCCCATTCTCCCCAGAGTCGAGACAACTTTTCCCTTTTCAGGCACATTTACATGTGCAAAAAAAAAAAAAATGCAGTTGACACAATTGTAATTGGGTTAAGTTTGCTTTGCACCGCTGCAATTAAGACAGACTGCAAATAACTGATTGTGAAGAGTTTGGTCAGTCTAGTTCAGTGTCTCATACATGTATTTCAGTTAATTATTACTAAAAAGCCACAATATAATCTATCATATACACTATGCTGGCTGTGGGTACATTGACACAAATTGTAAGGTACCCAGCCAAGGGAATATTTTGTACAAAATATCTTTGTTGCATAGATTTCTTCTTAATGTCCTGTACTGCATGTCCTAGTCTTGTTCTCATTTATGTTTGTTACTTGGTTACTGATTAGTTATGATTATGATCAGAAAACTACAGTTTATTGCAAATAGTCTAACTTAATCAAAAAGCCCAATGTAATGTGTAAACTGGAATTTCATTTTTGTTATTTCAAGGTGATTAAGACATTGCAGTGTTTCCCATACATTAACTTACTTGAGGTTGTTTTTTTAACACAACTCTGTCAAGTGCAGAGATCCAACTCTTGTAACATGTTATTAGCAAGCTAGTAAAGCTGGCTAAGCTAACATGAGAATACATGGGGTTAACATGCTGCATATAGTGCGGATGTATATAGACTGTTCTGCAAGTGGATAAAGGTAGTGCTAGCTCATAAACTTTGACGCTGAATATTTGTCCCCTCAGTCAAGGAGAATATTGAAAACCACAGGTGGGAAAGTTGATCAGTATGATTAGCAATCCAGCAGATTAATTTAGAATATTTACTGGCTTCAACCAGTGCCGGTGAAGCAGAAAGAATGATGTAGGAGAGAGGAGAGCAACAGCCAGCATGCTGCTGTGAGAGGGCCAGCTAGTGCAGGACGGACAGGTCATATGAACAGCATAACAGCACAGTGGTAACCCACTATAATATATATTTTTTAAAAGGTGTGGACCCCCTGCCTCTCCATGAACTACTGCTACAAGAAGAATCTAATTCTGTGGGAAATACTGCATTAGATAATGTGAACAGATTGTGCACTCCTATAGCAGTGGCTTGATAATAAATGTAATAGAAGAATCATTAAAAGGTTACAGAACAGGTTCGTTCACTATCACATCCACTTTACGTAGTAATCAACATTAGTGGCCTTCAGTGTGGTATTCTTGGCATGGGGAAAACAATACTAGCCTGTGCATTGTACTGTGTTCTCATCTCTCCAGCGTGCAAGTGTCACTAGTTACAAGAGCATCAGGTGGTTGGAAATCCCCAGGTAGAAACAGATTGGTGTGTGGTAATTGTTGAACCTCAGTCTGTGTCCACATTAATCCACAGTCACGACCCAAAATATAGAGTATCAACCTATTATGTCAGGATAATGTTGATCGCATGTACCTAGCAGGCTGACGCTGAGTGCAGGCCATTTGACAACATTTGATTTCCATATATTTCTTCACTGAGGTAGCTGGTTAAAGAGTGTGGTTAATATATACGGAATATGTTGTTGTAATATAAAGATTGCAATCTCAGTCAACACTTTAAGATGAAACATGCTGGAAAAGAGCCACAGAAATCTGTCACAAAAGAGAAAGCTTAAAAAAAAACAACAGCAAGACAGGTAATCTAATATTAACAAATATACCTGAATGATTTGTGTCAGAAAATGTATTTCTTTAAATGACTGGGTTGGAAAACTTTTGTTTCTGTTGCTGCGATACTAGTTAGCATACTTGTTCAAGTCTATTAACAAAGTTAGCATACTTGTTCAAGTCTATTAACTAAATAACTGTTGATGGGCAAATTAACCTCTACAGATGTAGTCGCTTCATGTTTTTGTTCAGAAAATGTATTACCTTGAATAAGCACTGTAGTTGGCAAAACAGGTTTACAGCCTAATGACATAATGTGCCACTCTTAAATTTCTGATGCAATAAACTAATCATATTCTGTTCAGCATGTTTTTATTAGCAGAAATTACATTAGCCTTCATTACAACAATCTGGGGGTTGTGTTATTATATGCAATATGCTAATACAATTCAGAAGTAGCTGATAGACCCTTTTCTTTTAGTTGTTAGAGAAAGAGTGGTTTCTCATGACTAATATGTTCATATTCAGTATGTTTTGGGTTCAGAGGTCCTGGGGCGCTTACCACATTTGGATGTCATTGCACTAGAACCCATAAAAAAGATAATCAACACTAAAGGCTTCATCCTAGACGGTGGTTTATATTTCAAGCACAGGAATTGTGTCTAGTAATGGTGTAATTCTATGTTGGATATGGTTTGTGCAAGTGAGCTAAAACATTCAAACAATGGACCAAAAAAAGTCTTAGCCAAATTCACACATGCAAACATTTTCACATGTTTTAGGTTGTTAAATTGTGTACTGCTTTTGACCATTTAAATCTTGCTTTACAGTTTGGTCCAGTGGCTGAAACACAGCAGGAAAGAGTACTGTGAATTATGCAAGCACAGATTTGCTTTCACACCCAGTAAGTTCATGTGGGATTCATCCACTTTCATCTAATAAACTGCCTCAATTTCCATACTTGTCTTACAGATGGGGCCATATAGTTCTGTTTTGTTTTTTTTACATGTGAATGATTCGGAATTGTTTTTTTGTTACTTCTCATTTTTAAATAATTCAAATAACCAGTAGAAAATTATTGCACAGAAAAGATGATTTGAATGTCTTTCTCTTTCCGCACAAGTCTACTCCCCAGACATGCCGTCACGTCTACCCATACAGGACATTTGTGCCGGACTGCTGACTAGTGTGGGCACGGCCATTCGCTACTGGTTCCATTACACATTGGTGGCCTTTGCATGGCTCGGAGTGGTACCTCTCACTGCATGTAAGTAGCACACTCACAGATGCAACTGTGGAGATTAAGTGAAAGCTGCAGTGTTCCTCCCACATGCAGAATTACCCATTTTATACTGTTCTACTGTTATGGCCAAGTAGGCTTAAGCAAAGTGTTTTATGCTCACATGTAGGCACTTTGATACACATTTCCACTTTCTTACTTAATTCTTGCATTTTGCGTAAGTTGTTTCATTAATAATTAGTTTCATGTTTGTAGAATGACACATTGATAATGGTCTTTGTTATTCAGGTCGCATCTACAAGTGTCTGTTTACTGGCTCTGTGAGCTCCCTTTTGACACTGCCATTGGACATGCTGTCTACGTGAGTGATGATTCGAGTACTCTCCGGCACTATACGATATGGCATGGAAAATAGTGTTAAATTTGAAAGAAAAGCTAGTGTGTTTTACTTGAAATATCCTCATTTCCCTGTAACTTAATTTTTTAGTGTTTCTGTTTTGTGTTCCTGCAGAGAGAATCTGCTTGCAGATTGTCTACAGGGATGCTTTGTGGTCACCTGCACCCTGTGTGCATTTATCAGTTTGGTGTGGCTCAGAGAACAGATAGTCCACGGTGGTGCTCCCCAGTGGTTAGAGCAACACCAGCCGCCACCACCCAATGTGGCTGGACAAGCTAATGAGGTACATTCATTGATTGTCAATAAAGCCAGTAATTTCTTTTATTTAAAAAAAATGTAAAGGAACACCATTAAAAAGATGAAATGTTCAATGATTCTGCCTTCTGAGAATATATGAACATCTTATAGCCAGGTGAAGAATGAAGATATTGATGTTAAGAGGGCTCTGTGTGAATACACGTGTCATAACGACTTGGCTGTCAGAGCGCTTCATGTACATCCAGTCCTAATAACTCACATAGTCGCTGGCATTGTCGTCTCCGTATATTAAAGCCATGCATCTGGTCCTCTCACTGTTAGGCACAAGCTGCAGGTCAGGGAGCAGCTGATGATCCCCCTGCTGCCCAGCCAGTCCCTGCTGATCCTCCAGCCCAGAACGAAGCAGACCCTGAGCCCCCTGATGCCCCCGCAGACCAGGGTGATGATCCAGACCTGGAAGAAGAGGGAGCGGCCGCTGAAGATGCAGACCCTAACAATGGCGCACAAGGTCAGGATGTGATAAGGAACAATTATTCAGATTAGAATCTCTGGCGATTTTTTTCTGGCAGTGTAATTTTGGTTAATACAAAAGTTGTCATATTTTTTTAAGTTCCTGTTCAATGTATTAATCTTCATTGCATTTCAAGTTGCTCTCTTTGTCTGTAGATGACATGAACTGGAATGCTTTGGAGTGGGACAGAGCGGCAGAGGAGCTCACCTGGGAAAGGGTAACTTTGCATAACATTATATTACTCCAAAGTACACAACTTAAAAAGCTGTAGAGGATTTTATCATGTGTGTTATATGTACACATATACACTTAAAATCTTTGTTTTCCTTTTAGATGCTTGGTCTGGATGGTTCACTGGTATTTTTGGTAAGACTATATTCTTAATAGTTTTGTCATAAATCTGTTTTGATGAGGCGTGTGCAGGTAATATCTTAACATGTGATGATTTTTGTCTTTGTCCTGTAGGAGCATGTTTTCTGGGTGGTGTCACTCAACACACTCTTCATCCTGGTCTTTGGTGAGTAGACTGACATTAGGATGTACCATAAGCGTGAAGATACACTGATCCTGATGCTTTATATTAAAATAAAGGCACACTTAAAATAATTATCTATTATGTGGTTATCATAATTGTGTGTGTGTATATACATTATAATGGAAAAGTGTGTTCTCTGTTTCTGTATTTATTCAGCATTTTGTCCCTACCACATTGGACACTTCTCCGTTGTCGGTCTTGGTTTTGAGGAATATGTAAGAAACTGCTTTCATCAGCTCAGCTTTATAATCCAGCAGTGTATGTCATGAACTATACTTTTAAATTTGCTGACCACTACTTTGTACATTACTTCAGGTCCAAGCCTCCCACTTTGAGGGTTTAATCACTACCATTGTGGGATACGTACTTCTGGCCATGACTCTCATTCTCTGCCATGTATCCTTTCAACTAAATACATCTGTCCCCTGTACTTGACTGACGTGTAAAATCTAAGACAAGCAGAATTCAGTTGGCTTTAATCTCACATTATTACAGGGCACTCCATGCATATGTAAGTGTGTGCACAGTGCCAGCGTTGATCCTTAATGGCTTTCTCAGGGCCTGGCTGCTCTGGTCAGGTTCCAGCGCTCCCGACGTCTCCTTGGAGTCTGCTACATTGTTGTTAAGGTAATGCCTTTAAGTGCATTTCTGCTGCATGAAACAAGAACTTTGGGCTTTCCTTTGTGGAAAAAAACAGAAGTATTCACTTACTGAGATTTACTACTTGAGTACAACACTGATTTGGTTTATATGCAAACGTGTGCATACGTAAGCTGAGGAAATCATTTATTGCACTATGTCTCAAAATAATCCAGATAAATGGCTTGGGATGGCCCTGTCCATTTTCTAGGTGCCCTGCAATTAAGAGAACAACTACAAAGGCTGACCTTTAACTCACTGTCATGTTATCACATACACTGTCTTTACAGAAAAACTGAATGAGAAAAGAATAGTCACATTAACAGCTTTTATGGAGATGTTTGAAATTAGTCTTCAGTTTATTCACATATGGTGTAAACTTGCTGAGACAGTTCTGCTTCTATTACAGGTCTCTCTGCTGGTTGTTGTGGAGATCGGTGTGTTTCCACTTATCTGTGGCTGGTGGCTTGACATCTGTCGATTAGTAAGACACTCTTGTTCTACTTCTTATAAGGACTTTCACCAACCATATCTCTATTTTTCTAACAATAATCTCATTCCTCATTTTTGAAAGCTCTTCACACTTGTCTACATTTTTAATTTAAATGGTGTATTTAGTTTGGATTGAAAGCCAAACATTAATTGATATCATGGGTAGCAAGGTCAGTATATTTCATACTTCATGTCTTTGTTTGATGTAGTTATAGATACAGTCCCATATTTTATAGTGATGAATAATTTTCTGAAATAGTATCTAGTTTTCTGTTTGCCCTAAAAGGTTTCAGTAACAGTAAGTGTCATTTTCTGAATTTGTCTCTTTTCCGTATATAATTTTAATGGATGCCTCTGTGTTGATTTCTTAAATTGACAATGGTGTAGCCTTTCCTGTGGAGGCATCCATTACTGCCACTGAAGTTGCTTTTAACAAGGTTGTCTGGCACACAGACAGAAGCAGATGCTGTTGATCACACAGCTCATACATTTATTAATATGGAAAAACAGTTGGAGAGAGTTGTTTATACCTCTGTTGTGGCTCTCACTCTCTTTGTCTATGAGTCACTGTGAGTCAGTGAGTTTGGCACAGTGTCAGAAAACAAAGTTGTTCTCCATCTCCAGCTACTATCTAAGCTGGCCCACCTATGCTGTATGGTTTCCTAAGACCGCCCCATGTAAATCATCCTCCCTTAGTTTAGGTGGAGCAGAAAGCGACCATGTCCCTCTTAAAAATGTAAAACCTAAGACATCTAAAATATGCATTGTTGTTAAAGGTAAAAAATGGAAAACAACAGAACTTGTTTATGTGAATAATGGCCATGTGGTATATGCACCAATATGAAAAATGGAACTTTCAGCAATAGTGAAGGAATCCTTCATCCTGCATGTACTCTCAGGACATTTTTGAGTTTTCCCTAATTTTAGCATGTGCAAATGTTATTCAAAGCACATTTAATCATCTAGCCAACTGTGCATTCACCTAACAAAGACAAGTAATTAGAAATTGAATGCTTGCCTTCTACAGGAGATGTTTGATGCCTCTCTGAAAGACAGAGAGTTAAGTTTTAAATCAGCTCCTGGTACCACCATGTTCCTACACTGGCTTGTCGGGATGGTCTATGTCTTCTACTTTGCCTCTTTCATCCTTTTACTCAGAGAGGTAAGATTACCAAATCTAACATTTGTTTGCATAAATTGCGGGTTAGTTTTGTTTTAAAAGATCATACTGTAAGTTTAAAAAATCATCTTCAGATATGATTGCTGTGGTTTGTCTGTCAGGTTCTGAGGCCTGGAGTGCTGTGGTTTCTGAGAAACCTCAATGACCCAGATTTTAACCCGGTGCAGGAGATGATTCACTTGCCCATCTACAGGCACCTGCGGCGGTTCATTCTGTCCGTCGTGGTGTTTGGCTCTATCGTGTTGCTCATGCTGTGGCTGCCCATCAGGCTGATTAAACTACTGCTACCCACATTTCTTCCATACAATGTCATGCTCTACAGGTAACCAGCAGAAATAACAAAATTATAAGTCACTTAGCAATAAAGTAGCAGTGGTGGGTGGATCCACTTCAGGCCAGATGGCCACAACATGTTATTGCAGTACATTTAGAACTAAAGAGGACGTATTGGCCATATTGCCAAACCAACTTGCTGATTAGAATAAGTTGTTGTGACTTGCTTGTTTGAGTGTATGCTAACATAAGAGAGAAAATAGATACTTGGAAATCAGATTTCTGTCACTTCAGTTGTGGAGCATAAGAACTGTTCTATTCAGCCATCTGGTACATGCGCTTGTACACACTGTTGAAATACCTCTTTCTGTTCACCTCTTTCATCTCAGTGATGCCCCAGTCAGTGAGCTGTCTTTGGAGCTATTATTACTTCAGGTTGTGCTCCCTGCTCTGCTGGAGCAAGGACACACTCGCCAGTGGCTCAAAGGCCTGGTCAGGGCCTGGACAGTCAGTGCTGGATATTTACTGTAAGTCAAGATTGAATACACTTTACAAGATTTAAAAATGTTTAATTCTCTCTAACCATTCAATGACTTCTTTGTCTCCACAGAGACCTCCACTCATACCTCCTCGGGGAGCAAGAGGACAACAATGCCAACCAGCCTGTGAACAACAACAATAATAACAATCCTCCACTTGGCCACCATAATAATAATAACAACCCTGCCCCAGCAGTCGGTGAGGGGCTGCATGCAGCCCATCAGGCCATCCTGCAACAAGGGGGGCCAGTGGGTTTTCAACCCTACCACCGACCCCTTCGCTTCCCATTTAGGGTGAGACGCTCCCGTGATTTTGACCATTTGCCCTGCTGTTTCTGGAGCAGGTTCTAAGGAATTAACTGTTTTAATCTTTCATTTTAGTGCAGTACAACTTCTGCATTTGTTTGATTTCTAGTGATGAGATGTTACAATTCCTTCATTCATGGATTCAGGCTTAGCCTTCGCAGTGTTTTATGAAATTATTACTATGGGCTGGAAAACCACACAGCCACAGAATGTATTTAAGGCAACCAGCTCAGTTTTAGTAAGACAGTGAAAAAGCTACCATGAGATTTGCAAAGGCAAATTTTCTGAGAATTGGCAACAACTTCTTTATTTATAGTTATATCACCACTCACAGGGGCTATAGTTGGAGGCAGCAGGGATGCAGAGATTTAACATTGTATGTGAAGATGATGTACAAAACTAGCTAAACATTAATGTGAATACTTTCTTATCAATTGTAACTGATGAACTACAGTTTTTTCCATTCAGAAAGAAAAATATACACTTGTTCATAGATATCATCAGTCTGCAGACAACCTGTCTGTAAATGGAGACAATTTAGTGCTGTGGCTATTATGACAGCAGGGCGGTGACCCTAAACACTGAAGGCAATCTACTACACAATGACCTCAAACAAAGACAGTCCAGCTGTTAGAGTGGCCCAGTCAGAGCCCAGACTCAATAGAAATGCCGTGGAATGAGCTCAGAGGGCTGTTCACACCAGACACCCTAAGAATATGACCTGATCTGAGGCAGTGAAGAAGATCTTTCTGAATGCTGTGCACATTTGATCCACAGCTACTGAAAGTACCTGTCTGGAGTGTTTGCTGCCAATAGAGATTTAATCAGTTATTAAATCTGAGGGTTCACTTGTTTTGCACCAGCAGTGAACATGCATAATGGCTGTGGTCTATAAAGGGACAAGAACAGTTTGTGTGTTATTAACTTAAGCACACAGTGTTTGTCTTTATTATTATATTGTTATATAGTATATTGTTTGTCTTATATTATTATTTGATCACATTTTATGATCAAATAATGTAGAAAACCAAGTAATTCTAAATGGTTCACATGCTTTTTCTTGCCACTGTTTCTTAGTTATAGTTTAGAAAATACATTACAGATATTTTTAATGGTGTTGCAGGGAATGGGAACTCATCTAAGTTTGATTACTCTTCTATGTTCACCTCCATTCTAAAACGTGTGCCCCTTCTTTTAGATTGTGTTGCTGATAGCTTTCATGTGCATCACCCTGCTGGTGGCCAGTCTGGTGTGTCTAACCCTACCAGGTGAGATGTGGTGGCGTGTTACACAAGCAGCAGTTTGTTTGCTACTCTGTAGACCACACCCAAACCATAATTGAAAGGTGTCTATGCTGTTGAAAGTGTTCTAAACTCAAACAGTAATTTACATTTTCCTCAGCGAGACTGTTTCTAGCTTTGATGATTGTGTGGTCATGTATAGTATGCTTGTCGTGTGTTTCAGTGTTCACTGGGCGTTGGCTCATGTCCTTCTGGACAGGAAACTCTAAGATCCACGAGCTGTACACAGCAGCATGTGGCCTGTATGTCTGCTGGCTGTCTATCCGTGGAGCCACTGTGCTGCTTGCCTGGATGCCCCAGGGACGCACAGTCATCATTCACAAAGTCCAGGAGTGGACTCTCATGGTAAGCAGCAGTGAGCAGCCTGTTAGCAAACCCCAAAACTGGGCAGCACAGTGGTGTTGTGGACACTTCTTGTCTCTCCAGCCATTTCTTTGTCAAGAACTGCGCCTGAATGCACGGTCAGTGTTAAATGGTTTGTTTTTAGTTGTGTTTTTTTTTTTTTTTTTTTTTTTTTTGTCCCATGAAGGTAGGAATCTGCTAAGTAATGAGGAATAAAACTTAAACTGTCGTTCTTGGTCCCATAAATTATTGAAGCTTCATGATTAATTATGTTAATTGTTTGCACTGTCTTTTGTTTGTTTAGATCCTGAAGACCCTGGTTGTAGCTTTGCTGATTGCAGGAGTCATCCCGTTGTTACTGGGCCTGCTGTTTGAACTGGTCATTGTGGCTCCACTCAGGGTGCCCCTGGACCAAACACCCCTTTTCTACCCCTGGCAGGTATGATTGTGAGCATGCTTGTTCTTTTTGTGTGTGTGTGTTTGTGTTTGTCACGTGTACTCCCATAGGATCCTGGAAGTTCTGTTTGAGAAAATATTTTGAATAAAGGAGTTCTTACATTCGTGTTCATGCTGCTGTGTGCAGGACTGGGCTCTTGGAGTGCTTCATGCCAAAATCATTGCTGCCATCACTCTTATGGGGCCTCAGTGGTGGCTCAAGACTGTTATTGAGCAGGTGAGCTTGTATACAAACAGACCAAAATGTCTTTTTATTCTGTTGCAGTTAGCTGTACTATATGATAACTGTGAACTTCCTCAGGTTTATGCAAATGGAATTCGCAACATTGATCTCCAGTTCATCATTCGTAAACTGGCAGCTCCAGTCATCACAGTGCTGCTACTGTCCTTGTGTGTCCCCTATGTGATCGCTGCTGGTGTGGTGCCTGCTGTAGGTGAGTGTCTGACTACATGTGAATCAGAATGTTTGATTAGTCAGTTTCTATTTTGGCTTCTGATTTAACCTACTCAGACTGAGATTTGTCAGACCAAACCTCATGTGCCACACTTGGAGATAAATATCAGTAAATGCCCTATTCTAAATTGAAGAATGTATACAATCTGAGGAGACAAGGAAGTGGAATAAATCCTAAAGCCATCACCATGAAGCACTGACAGTTTCCAGCTAATGGGACTTTTGTTGAAACACTATATAACTGAAATGTGTTGCTTCCACAGGAGTGACCCCAGAGATGGAGATTCTAATGCAAAGGAGAATCTACCCGTTCCTCTTGATGGTGGTCTCGCTTATTGGCATTCTGTCATTCCAGATCCGACAGTTTAAACGCCTTTATGAACACATCAAGAATGACAAGTAAGGCTTTTTAGCTTGGGGTCTATCTGTAAGAGATGTGCTGTACAATTTGGAGTGGAGTTCTTAACAGTTTGTGTTTGGTCAAGTCAAATATCACAAATCCCAAATTTGCCTCATGGGATGATGAGAGGCTTTGTAACACATGAACCTTTGGGTGGTAATTGTAAATTCTAGTTGGTTAGTTAGCCTATGCTGACATTCTGCAGTGGATTGCATTCACCACTGAGGGCTCGGGGAAATGACGCGGCCCCGTGTGGTGAAAGAGTTAAGATCTGGTTCAACTTTTGCAATTTATGCAACCAGCTCATGATGGCATGTTGTCACACTTTGAATCATGCTTTGAATATACTGTTTCACAATGCATTGTTATACCTAGTAAATAAAGTCTTTGAAGTAGAAGAACTGTAACTCCAGCACTGGATTTCTTGAAAAATTTAGAATTACAGCAGCTATATTTTGATAATCTCTGTCTTCTCAGGTACTTGGTTGGCCAGAGGCTTGTCAACTATGAACGGAAAGCTGGAAGAGCGAGCTCAGTCCCCCTGTCCAACCCTGTTGTTGTAGAATAGATTTTCATGTTACAGGCTGCTACATTTTTCCACCTCCTGTGAACATTCTGTCCTCCACCCCTTACCCCACCTCTTTTTCATTTTCACCTCAGATTTTGGACTGTAATCCTTTTGAATCTCCTGTGGATCTATGTGGATTTGATGGGTGTTGTTTCATTTCTTGAATACCCTTTTAATGGTATCAGAAAATGTATTATAATCAGTTGAGTAATCCCCTGAGAGAAAGCAGGAGGACAAAGACATTTGAAATGAAGACATTTAAAGCTCAACATCTGTATTGTCGTTCATGCCTTGCTTTGTAAAGTGCTGTCTGATATTTGTACATGTGTAAATACTTTGAGCGCAGACGTAGTCTTATAAACAAAGATGGATATGGATTAATGCAATGACCATTGTACATCTTAAAAGTGTATGTTTAATTTATTACATAAACTGACAATTGATCTTGTCACCTGTGTTGTCAAGTCAAAGTGTATGCATATAATGTGGTTAGGGATCCACCAATACCAGTATCTGGTCAGATACCACACTCTAGTAGACCGACTTGCACTCATTAAAGTCATCTAATACTATGCACAATACCACTTAATATTACATTAACCTCACCACATCGGCCTCACGCTGGTCGTTACATGGGCAAGAAGAAATTTCAGCAGTTCGAAGATGAGTTAAGTGACAAAAATAAAGCTAACTGCATGTTCTGCTTCTCTGCAGGTACAGACAAGGTTGTATTTATTGAGTTGACAACACTGTATATGTGCATCAAAATCCACCAGAGATTATGAGCAGTTTATCAAACTCCTGTTGAGCAAGCAGAACACAAACTTGATGATTCACCTCTACTCAACTTGCCTGGTCCCCTGTTGACACACTTGTGAAATATTTGAGAGCAGACGTTTACTGCTCCTGTCTGTTCTACGATTTTTCACATCTTCTACATTTTCAAGTCTTTGAACAAATTCTACAACTATTAAAATGCCTCCAAGAGGGAAAAGAGCTAATAAATCAGAGGCGAATGAGGATGTTGAGGCAGAAGAGGATTATATTTCAGCGGCGCTGAGAGATGTTGAGTCAGCAGAAGCAGATGTACACCGCACTGCTGAGCCAACAACAAGACAACTTCAAAGGTTTTGTGCAACTACTTATGGAGACATAACGAGACTCGACGACATGACCAGAGAAATACAGGAGATAAAAACGAGTTTGCAGTTTACCCAGCGAGATGTGGATGTGATTAAAGCAGCCATGGGTGAACAGAAAATACAAACCAAGGAAACAAGGGATGATGTCTACAAAACTTGTGAG